GAGTGATGGAAACTATGTCCACACAAAAACCTCCACATGCGTATTTAGAGCAGCTTTATTCACCATTGCTAAAAAGTGGAAGCACCCAAGACGTCCTTCAATAGGTGACTGGGTAAACAAACTGTGTGACACACCCAGACAGTGGGCTATGACTCAACACTAAAGAGAAATGAACTACTGAGCCACGGAAAGATACGGAGGAAGCCTTGATACCTGTTACTAAGCGAAGAAAGTCAGCTCCGACAGGAGAGAATTTCTCATTTGTTCAGTGCTGTATCCCTAGCATCTAAAACAGTGTCTGGACGTACAGACCCTCAAAACATCATGGGAAACAGAGGTCCTTCCTCTCACCTGAGTCACAAGAAAGGAGAAAGACACAAGGGCAGCCTTAGATGACCAGCTGAGACTGGGTTCCCAACTCAGTGTCTTTCCAAACAGGGGCCACCAACCAACATTCTTATTCCCAGGCCACACACCAGACCTGGTTGGTCAGGATGAGGGCTAATCTGCATTTTTACTTTTATTAAATACTAGAGGCCCTGTGCACAAAATTCGTGCATGCAGGGGGGGGGGGGGTTGTCCCTCAGCCCGGCCTGCACCCTCTCCAATCCCTTGGGGGATGTCCGACTGCCGGTTTAGGCCCTCAGGGATCGGGCCCAAACCGGCAGTTGGACATCCCTCTCAGAATCCAGGACCGCTGGCTCCTAACCACTCACCTGCCTACCTGCCTGATTGCCCCTAACCACTCTGCCTCGGCCCCACCACCATGGCTTTGTCCAGAAGGACGCCTGGAAGTCCAGAAGACTTCCAGTCTATCCGGTCTAATTAGCATATTACCCTTTTATTAGTATAGATACTTTCATTGATTTCAGAGAGGAAGGGAGGGGGAGAGAGAGATAGAAACATCAATGATGGGAGAGAATCATCGATCGGGTGCCTCCTGCACGCCCCCTACTGGGGATGGAGCCTGCAACCTGGGCATGTGCCTTGACCAGGAATCAAACCGTGACCTCCTGGTTCATAGGTTGACGCTCAACCACTGAGCCACGCCAGTGGGGCCTAATCTGCATTTGAGAACCCTTGCGGTGCTTACTAAAAACATACCTGTGGAGGTACAGAGGCAGCAAGGCATGGACACCCTGTAGTTCAACCCTTTATCTTTACAGATGGAGAGGCTGCAGCCCAGAGAAACTGTCTCACCAAAGAGCCACAGCAAGTCACCTCCTGGCTCTCGGGCCTCTGCTGGGTGGCATGGCTGACCACCCACTCAGGCAGCAAGAGAGGCTCCTGCCTCTGCTGGAAAAGATCATCCCCTTGGGCAGCTGATGAAGGCCAACTCTGTTTGTCAAGGCCACGAGGTATTTACTCCCCCGAGGAGCGAGGAGGTGGGGGAAGTCCAAAGGAGCTTTTAATAGGCCTGTTTAGGGTAAGTGTTGATGAGGTCACAGGAGGATTCACTTCCCTAACCTGACAGGAACCGTTATTTTCCTGTTTCTCTTTTCACATGATATGATTTGCTTAGAATATTTAACTTAAAATGAAATGACCAGATTTCAGATATGCAAAAACTAGAACCAGGGGTAAGCCCAGGAGAACTGGCACCTGCCATTCCTCTCCTCTCAGCTCGGCCACCCATTTGCCATCTGACCTTGGGGACCTTGGACGCATCGCCTAGTCGCTCTGGGCCCTGGCCCCTGGCCACGAGCCTTCCCAGCTCTGATGGCCTGTGGTCCTCTGAGTCTAACTCACTCTACAATCAGCCTGCAGCCAGAAGCCCTGCTGGCTCTTCTGTGGGCTTGTTCTGGGCCAGGAGAACAGAACAGACCCAACGATTTCTATAGTTGAAGAGAGAGGTTAGTGGTCAGCCCACAAAACTAATGGGAAATAGAGATGGAGCACAAAGGCTGGGGAAATAAGGTCATCTTCAAGCAGGGAGACAGCAGAAATGACCCAGAACAAAGGGGGGCCCTGAAGGGCACTGTGGGGACACTTTTCAGGAAATTAAATTTTGGTACCAGGTTCTGCTCACTGTGGACCACCTTAACTTTTTTTTTTTAATTATTGATAGTTATGCTGAGGGAAAGAAGCCAGGCAAAAGGACATCATGCATGATTCCATATATAAAATTCTATAAAATGCAAACTAACCCATCATGACTGAGAGCAGATCAGAGATTGCCTGGGGAGGGGGAGGGAGAAGAGAGGGCAAGAGGGAGGGGTTGCAAAGGGGCATGAGGACTCTTTGGGAGCACGGATGTATGCTCACTATCTCGCAGGGATGTGCACCACACGTCAAAACATAAAATTGCTCTCTCTGAATGCATGTAGTCAACTGTATGTCTATTATATCTCAGTGAACCTGTTTTAAAAACTGTAATGAGCCTAGAACATCTTGTCAGACCAGAAAGCAAGCAAACTAGTCATTTTGTTAAAAGGATTCATGTGCCAACGTGAATAGGACCCACTGGCCAAAGATGGGAAAATGGGAGCAACAATTAGGATAATAACTAGAGTGGACTGAAAAAGAACAAATAGCCCTGGCTGGTGTGGCTCAGGGATAGAGTGTCGGCCTGTGGACTGAAGAGTCTGGTTTCAATTCTGGTCAAGGGCACATGCCCGAGTTGCGGGCTCAATCCCCAATAGGGGACATGCAGGATGCAGCCGATCAATGATTCTCTCTCCTCATTGATGTTTCTCTCTCTCTTTCCCTCTCCCTCCCTCTCTGAAATCAATTTTTAAAATATATTTTATTGATTTTTTTTTACAGAGAGGAACGGAGAGGGAGAGGGATAGAGAGTTAGAAACATCGATGACCATTGAAACATTGATTCAGCTGTCTCCTGCACACTCCCTACCAGGGATGTGCCTGCAACCAAGGTACAAGCCCTTGACCAGAACAACCTGGGACCCTTCAGTCTGCAGGCCGTCGCTCTATCCACTGAACCAAACCAGTTAGAGTTGAAGTCAATTTTTTTTAAAAAGGTGTAAATCCATGTGTGTTCATAATGATAATATTAATAAACCTCATTGATCAATATCCTTTGGACATACTAGGGACCCAATTATTTTTAAATTGCTAAAGGTAAAGAATTATGCACCTAGCATGTCTTTCTTATATGAAGTGTACTTCATGTAATCAGTTAGCCCCGTGGTCAGCAAACTGCGGCTCGCGAGCCACATGAGGCTCTTTGGCCCCTTGAGTGTGGCTCTTCCACAAAATACCACGTGCGGGCGCGCGTACAGTGCGATTGAAACTTCGTGGCCCATGTGCAGAAGTCGGTTTTCGGCCTGGGCGAGTCTATTTTGAAGAAGTACTGTTGATATTTGACTCTGTTGACTAATGAGTTTGTCGACCACTGAGTTAGCCAATGAAGGGAATGTTCCTCTTCATAGGTATTTCAGCTAATAAAGCTAAAATGGTGTCATCATTTACAACCCTTTATCAAGGCCATGGTCACCAATGGCTGAAAACATCACAAAATGAGAAATATGCAGGTGTTATGATTCTCCTCATGGGAGCACACAATACCACAAAAGTAGTCTTGTACAAAAAGTCAAACCGATCTGACTAGACCTTTTAGATGTAACCACCAATATGCAGAGAACACGGGAGGGCAGGGGAAGATGTTAAAACAACGCCATGGGTCCCTAGCCGGTTTGGCTCAGTGGATAGAGCGTCAGCCTGCAGACTGAAGGGTCCCAGGTTTGATTCTGATCAAGGGCATATAACTCGTTGCAGGCTTGATCCCTATCGCTGGTCGGGGTGTGTGCAGGAGGCAACCAACTGATGTGTCTCTCTCCTCATTGATGTTTCTATCTCTATCTCCCTTTCCCTTTCTCTCTGAAATCAATAAAAATATATTTAACTTTCTCTCTGAAATCAATAAAAATATATATATATACCTATATATATATATTTTTTTATAAAACCGCCATGGGGATGCCACTAGCAAGATCTAGACTGAGGAAAACTCTACAAGGCAAACTACCTATTTTCTTTAAAAAATAAAAATAAAATAAAGAGAGAAAGGAAAGGGGGGAAAATGAGATGAAAATGAAAGAAATTGAAAATGAAAAAGAGAAAGACAAAACGTAGATTTAAAAAGACTTAAGTTGCAATGTATGGTCTGGATCTCAATACAAACTTTTTTTAAAAATGACATTTATAAGCCAATCAGGAAAATTTAAACACTATTTTGATATTAGGAGATTGATATTTTTGGGGGGTGATAGTTTGGTGGATGTTTGTCTTTTAAAGATACATTCTGAAATGTTTACCGGTGAAATAATAGGATGTCTAGCATTTGCTTCAAAATAATGTTGGAGGGGTGAGGTATAGAGGAAACAAGACTGACCAGGAGTTGGTTAATTGTTGAGTAATGACTATATGATGGTTCATTAGGCTATTCTATTTTCTCTACTTTCGTACCTGTATGAAATGTTTTATATTGTGCAATAACATGTTTTCAAATTGTGCGTCAAAATAATTGCACTAATGTGAAAAATGCAATTTAAAAATCAGGAAGAAATACTGTCTTGCAAAACGCTGACGTTACTTGCCTGAGAGCGGTAGGATGAGTCATTTCCCTCTTCATTTCTACATCTTCTGTAATGTGTCTATATAGTTTTATAATGAGAAATACTCGTAGTAAACCCTAGGGGGAAACAAAACCTCTATTTTTGCCGTCCTAAAAACCCACCTATTCTCTCCTCCTTTTCCTCCAGGTTTTTGCTTAGCTTCCCGCCATCTGTCCAGCGCTCCCTAACTTCCCACCCGCCCGCAGGCTGATTGAGCCACCACGATGCTTAGCACAGCGACTTCGGAACCCGCTTCCTTCCGATGCTTGAGTAACATCTGCGCACGCGCGCTCTGCAGGACTACACCTCCCAGGAGGCTCTGCGCCTCGCAGGGGAAAAAAGCCTTGATAGCGAAGGACTACATTACCCAGTGACACCTTGTGGGCGGTGTTAGCCGGTGACGACTGTCCAAACATTGGTCCAAAATCTGTCGGAAGCTGCGCAGTGATTGGCCCAGGCGCCCGTCAGTTACTGCCGGGCGCAGTTGACTTTTGCTGTTAAGCCTGCGTGAGGAAGGAGGGAGAGCAGAGCTAGTAGAGCCGGGCGGCGCCCTCGGAGCGGAGTGAGTGACCTCTACTTCCGCGCGTCTCGCCGCCCGTTCGGACACTTGCACCGTCGCTCCCCGGAGGGAGCACACATGCGCAGGTATTCACGCGGGGGCGGGGACTGTACGCACGTGTGTCATGCCCGACCTGAGAAGCCTCAGGGACTCAGGGAGCAAAAGCACTCCCGAGGCACACCCAGACACCCGTGTCTACACGCGGGTGCATCTGCAGAGAGCCCACACCCAGACACCCGTGTCTACACGCGGGTGCATCTGCAGAGAGCCCACACCCAGACACCCGTGTCTACACGCGGGTGCATCTGCAGAGAACCTTAGCTGAACACATGGGCAGACCTCCCAGCTGCAGACCCGGACACTCGGGGCTTCCGCAGTAAGAGAAGGGGGCGGCTAAGGCACACACACACCCCACCCGCCCTGCCACTCACACCAGAGGACCCCCATCTTCTGGGTGCTGTGTTGTACAGTGGGGCCTTGACTTACGAGTGTTCCAACTAACGAGTTTTTTGAGCTACCATCTGTCTCGGCCGATTTTTTGCATTGAGTTGATAGAATAATTTGAGTTAACAAGCTCCTTAACGAGCTCGGTCTCAGAACGAATTAAACTCGTAAGTCAAGGCCCCACTGTATATACCAAACATATAATCACATTTCATTTTTATTTTTTCTCTTTAGATGATTGGTACAAGAAGGAAATTTTGAACAGCAGAAAAAGTAAGGCCACTATCCTTAAAGCCCTTTCAGGTTTGTGAGACTTTTACCACTTTGACAAAGCTTATCACGTGCGGCAGTAGTCTGGGCGAGGCAGGGCGGGTGTCACTCCCACTTTCCAGAAGGGAAAACTGAGCGCAGGTTAAATAACCCTGCCCAGGCCCCTGGGAGAGGCTGAGATCCGAGGTGAGGTCCAGCTGTGCAGAGCTGCTGAGTTAGAGAAATACCTCCTTTCCCCCACAGCCTGGGACCGAGCAGTCCCTGGGAGCTGGAGAGGCTCTCCCTCGGGCTCCTACCCTGTTTAACCTGCTCCTCACAGGGACCTGGGGAGAAACAGCTCGAGTTAATGTGACGGAGAAGTGGATGGGAAAGGCCAGGTGTCCTCCTTTGAGGGAATCAGAAAAGGTACCAAGAAATGGGCACATTCCTGGCAGGGCGTGGGGGGTTTCACATCATGGACGTTTTAATAAAATGTCATCTTAGAATACTTTGCTGATAGAGCTCCGTGGAAATCTCGTGCTGGTTTTGAGGGTGGATTGGAGTATTACTTTGGTATTTTCAGAAAAGTGAGGGCTGGGGGCTGAGGGAGTGGTGGGTACAGAGTCCAGGGTGGGTGAGAGAAGAAAAGGAATTAATGGTGGGCCCCGGCAGGTGTGGCTCAGTTGGTGGGTGTCCACCCATACCCTAGAAGGTTGCCGTTCAGCTCCTGGTCTGGGTTCAAGCCTGGGTTTCTGGCTTGACCCCAGGTAAGGCCATGCAGGAGGCAGCTGATTGATGTTTCGCTCTCACATAGATCTCTCTCTCTCCCTCCCTCCCTTCCCCTTCCTCTCTCCAAAAATCAATTTAAAAAAAGAAAGAAAAGAATCAGTGGGCGAAGGCTGTCATGGTGTGGTCACTGACTTTTCTATTACTAAAGTATTCAAGACCTAGATTAATTCTGAGTTCCCTTCTAAAGTCATTTTATATTTAGTTTTAGTTGGAATTGGGGGTGGGGGCATAACAAAGCCAAACTATATAGAAGTGTATTCAGAAAAAGGGAGAAATCTACCTTCCTTCTTCCCTTGCCAACCCTTCCCCCAAAGGTAACCTTACCAGCCCGTGGGGGGTGTGGTCACAGACTTTCCCCTTCAAGTTATACAGCTGAACAAAGTGTATTTAGGTCTTGCTATTTTTCTTTTGCAAAGATGGGGTTATACTACACATACTGTTCTGAAACCTGCTTTTTCTTTCATGTTTCAATCTATCATAGACATCTTTTCCGTGTGAGTAGCACTGGCTCATTCTTTTTAATGGCTGTATATGCCATCACATGGATGTGACTCAGTGTATTTGTCCACCTCTCCATTGATAAGCATTTGTGTCAGACCTAGTTTTACAAACGGTGATGCAGTGCATGCCATTGTACACCTGTGCTCGTGTGTAAAACCCCTCTCCAACAACGGTTCTCGACCAGGGACAGTTTGGTTCACATCAACTGGAATTGGCAATCGATGCTCATACATCTAAAATCTGAGCAGGGCAGAAGTCCAGACCTATAATGGTATTCTCTCTGTTCTGTGCTGCGTCCGCGGCAGGCGCTGTTTCAGATGGCTGGTCAGGGAGGGCTGCTCTGAGGGGTGATGTGTGAGCAGAGACCCTGAGAACCTGATCGGGTGTCTCCTCCTGTTTTTTGCATTTAGCTTGAAGCTGATGGACATTGTATGGGCCGGAGGCAGGGATGGTCGGCTATGACCCCAAAGCAGACGACAGGAATATCTCCAAATTGGAGGTGGCCGTGTCTGGGTCGGTGTCTGGACTTGTCACTCGGGCGCTGATCAGCCCCTTGGACGTCATCAAGATCCGTTTCCAGGTACCCTTTCCCCCTTTTCCCACGTGATGGACGGACTGGTCAGGGTCACTCTTTCATGCCAAAGCAGTTCCTAAAAGCTTGGAATTTTGTCGAGAACATTGCCTTCGTGGCCTTTCCTGAAATTTCGCCTTCTCCTCCAGCCCCGCCCCTCCTGTCCTGACCTTTCCATTTTCGTTCCAGCTTCAGATTGAGCGCCTGTCCCGCAGGGACCCCAACGCGAAGTACCATGGGATCCTGCAGGCCGGAAGGCAGATCCTGTGGGAGGAGGGCCCGACCGCCTTCTGGAAGGGACACATTCCAGCCCAGCTTCTCTCCATCGGCTATGGAGCCGTCCAAGTAGGTGCGGGGAGCCGCCTGGCCCCTGGGGTCGGGTTGCTCAACGGAGCAGCACAAGGACGAGGGGTCGGGCGGCAGGCGGCGGTCACCACACTTCTCACGTGTCTCAACGGGGAACCTACCTGACAGATGGACTGAGTCAGACTGAGCTGTACCACAGGCCTTCCCTTCCCCACGTCCCCCCGCCCCAGAGACTGGGCGCCCACTGAGTATTAGGGAGGCTCTCTTGACCTCACACTCCCAATGGGACTTGGCAAATGGTGACACAATGCTTTTCACTTTTCAAAATTGCATTTCCACATCTGTGCTTCCCTGAACTTCCCAACAGCCTTGTGAGGAAGGCAAGAGCAAGCGATGTGTGGGTCGGAGAGGTGACGTGAGCTGTGAGCGGTGGGGCTTGTTCATCCTCAGCCGAGTGCCGGTTTATCTCAGAGCGTGTGACACGTGGTGTAGAACCCCTGTCCAGTGCTCACTGTGGGCCAGGCCCTGTTTTAACCATTTCACCTCTGTTCCCTCTCAGCAGTACTTTGAGATAGGTTGTTGTCATCCCTATTTTACAGACAAGAAGACTGAGGCAGAGAGAGTTAAATAGTTAACCCAACCAAAGTCAGCAGCTAGAAAGTGGCCCTGACTGGTTTGGCTCAGTGGATAGAGCGTCGGCCCATGGACTGAAGGGTCCCGGGTTCGATTCCAGTCAAGGGCATGTTGCAGGCTCCATCCCCAGTAGGGGACGTGCGGAAGACAGCTGCTGGATATTTCTTTCTCATTGATGTTTCTAACTCTCTATCCCTCTCTCTTCCTCTCTGTAAAAATCAATAAAAAATATATTTAAAAAATAGTTTTAGAAAGTGGAAGAGCCAGGATTCCCCCCTGGAGAGCTAGCACTAGAGTAGTCCCTGCCTGCCCTTTCTACAACATCACATCTGCCATTTCATGGCTGTGCCATGGGCGCACCTGCCACAGGTGCTGCAGCATGGGAGTCGGTACGGCCACCTGTGCTCTAGGACCCCGAGCCGCCTCGAACTGGCTGGAGGGAGATCTGAGCGTACGAGGGTAACACCATGGAACATGGAATAAGTGGAGTTCTCCCATCAGAATCCTTGCTCCGGGCGGAATGCTTCTCAGTGTCACTGCCGCCGGCTGCACTGGAGGGGTCCCCTGCCGAGGCTCATATAATGGCCACCTTTTCTCAGGTTTCAGGAAACTAAGTTAATGAGTAGAATTTTAAAAAATATATCTTTATTATTGATTTCAGAGTGGAAGGGAGGGGGAGAGAGTTGGAAACATCAATGATGATGAGAGAATCATTGATCGGCTGCCTCCTGTACACCCTCCCCCACTGGGGATCGAGCCCTCAACCAGGGCATGTGCCCTGACCTAGAATCGACCGTAATCTCCTGGTTCATAGGTCAGCGCTCAACCACTGAGCCATGCCAGCTGGGCTAGAATTTTCTGATATAAAAGTTTTATATTTTCTTAACCTTTTGAGTACTTGGCTCTACTCCAGTAGAATCTAAAATGGCATCTGAGCTGCACAAAATTGTGTCTGTTGTATTGTCACTGCTCAGGAGGACTCTTTCCCTGTCCCTAGGACTGGGCCCCACCTGGGTCGTGGGTCAGAGGCGGTCTGTTTGGGTGCCTGTCAATGACCTTCTCTTCGCTCTTGCAGTTTTTGTCGTTTGAAATGCTGACCGAGCTGGTGCACAGAGCCGGCGTGCACAGTGCCCGCGACTTCTCCGTGCACTTCGTGTGCGGCGGCCTGTCTGCCTGCGTGGCCACCCTCGCCGTGCACCCCGTGGACGTCCTGCGCACCCGCTTTGCAGCGCAGGGTGAGCCCAAGGTCAGTGGCCCGGCCAGAGGAGGGGCGCCTGAGTAACCGAAGGTGGCCCAGGAGTTGGGGCTCTTTTCCTGGGAGGGAGCAGAGCTGGACGAGGGGGTTTTCAGTCTGCCTGTCGGTCCCTTTGTGAGACCTGGAACCGTGCTCAGCACCTCGTACTGTGCTCACGGCCTCACGGGGGAGCCAGAGCCTCCAGGTGGGAACAGGACACACCACACAGCGGGCTGGGCAGGGACGGGCCTGGGAATGTGAGCCTCCGGGTCAGATGGCTGATCCAGATGCTATTGTGAGACTGTCTGGTTCCCACAAAGGATGGGTTGGAGGAAATGGGGTAATGAAGTTCAGGAAGAACTTACTGAGTGAAAGCAAGGGATTAAACCCTGAAGTAGACCCCTCCACCATACTCTGTGTTTCCTGGACATACGGTGGTAGTGTGTGTGTGTGTGTGTGTGTGTGCGTGTGTGTGCGTGTGTGTGTGTGTCAGGGCGAAAGGGAGATGTACCTGGGCATCCTGGGCCCGGTTTCCCTGCCCGTGTTCGTTTCCTGCACAGACGCTGCCTGCTCCCCTGTGCTTGGCTGTGACCTTTGGGGATTAGTCCCGTCAGCCACACAGATTGCCTCCTCCTGCTTTAGCAGTGACAGCATGTTCCCGTGTCCTTTTTAATGGCTGTGTCATAACTCATGTACCCAGTCACCCGAGGGGGGATGTCGCGTCTTCTGTTCCAAAGGACACGTGCTTTGTGCCCTCACGTGTTACTGGAGCCTTCAGGGGGGGAGGGGCAAGGTCGCCCGGGGATGGACCAGTCATGTAAACAGCTTGGCGGGGTCACTGGGAAAGCCCACTTGGGATTTTGTCCAGCACGTCCTGTGTCCTCTTGGCAGAAGTAATGCTCCTGGGTGTGCAGGAGCAGGGCGTGCACGTGGTGGGCTGTGTTCTCAGGCTAAAACCGGCGCTGCGCTCACTCGAGTTGCGTGTGTGCATCCAGGTGTACAAAACCCTGCGGGCCGCCGTGGCCACCATGTACAGGACCGAAGGCCCCTTGGTCTTCTACAAAGGCCTGAACCCCACCTTGATCGCCATCTTCCCCTACGCTGGCTTCCAGTTCTCCTTCTACAACTCCCTGAAGCACGTGTACGAGTGGGTCACGCCGGCCGAAGGAAAGAAAAACGGTGAGACAGCCGCACGGGAAAGGAGCTAGGTCTCCCTTCACCCCACTCCCAAGACATCACGTCTCCTGCATCGCGTGGGAAATAGAGATTCCTGTCAGAGCTTAGACACCACAGGGCTCTGAGCCCGCTCTGCCATGCGGCCGCTCACACCCATCAGTGGCACCAGTGACTGGGTTTTGTTCTGGAAGGATGTGCAGGAGGAGGGACATCCTGTTCCCACCCATCAGTGGCACCAGTGACTGGGTTTTGTTCTGGAAGGATGTGCAGGAGGAGGGACATCCTGTTCCCCTTGAGCCTGAGCTGAGTGACATGGCAGAGCCCAAGGCCCTCACGGCCTCCAGCGGGGGAGGCAGAGCACCAGTGACTCTCACCTGTGCTGCCACCACCTGTCCCACGTGCGGTCCCGTGTCGTTCTTGCCAGAAGTGGCTGTGTCTGGCTCTCTGTTTCCTGGACTAAATTCCTCGGAGAGCAAGGATGGCTTGTGGGGTTTTGTTTTATGTGGAGGACAAAGTTCATGACCTTTAACTTGTCTACCCGAAATTGCATTTTCCTCATTTCCCCCTCATTCCCACTCTCCTGGTTCAGGGAACCTCAAAAACCTGCTCTGCGGCAGTGGAGCCGGAGTCATCAGCAAGACCCTCACGTATCCCCTGGACCTCTTCAAGAAGCGGCTGCAGGTCGGAGGGTTCGAGCAGGCCCGAGCCAGCTTCGGCCAGGTGAGCCGTGCCCTGCCGACAGCTCTGGTCCTGCCCCCACTGGGACGGGAGGGGCCCCGGGGGGAGAAGGGCTGGGCAGAGAGGGAAGCTGAGTTCCAAACGAACACCGGGCCTGAGCTTGGACTTGGTTGTTCATGAGGTCACTGCCTGGTCATCGTCATCGGGAATCACTGGAGCCTTTGCGGGGAGCATGGTCGCCTGAGAAGGCCGGGCGGGAGGGTGGCACAGGTAGGCGAAGAGCTAACGAGGGCCAGGTTCGGATCTGCTGCCCAAGAGGGACCAGGTGGGGTGGGGGAGGGGCAGAGGTGCCTCTGGGAAGAGGGTCCAGAGCTCTTACTGGGTCCTTAAGAATCAGAACCAGCGGGAGCCGCCTGGGCAGGAAGGAGCTCTGTCCAGCGCCGAGTTCCAGGCACTTCAACTTGGAAGAGAAAGAATGGGGTTAACTTTTTTCTCTGTCTCTTTTGCACCCATTCCTTCACCCAACACGTCTGTATTGGGAGCTACAATGTGCTAGGCGTCGTGCTGACAAAAGGATGGAGCCTCGTCCGTGTTGTACTCCCCTCCCCTCACCCCGAGCGACCTTCTTCTCCCCAGGTTCGAAGCTACCAGGGCCTCCTGGACTGCGCCAGGCAGGTGCTGCGGGAGGAAGGCGTGCCGGGCTTCTTCAAGGGCCTGTCGCCCAGCCTGCTGAAGGCTGCCCTCTCCACCGGCCTCATGTTCTTCTGGTACGAGTTCTTCTGTAACCTCTTCCACCGCGCGAAGAAGGCGGACAGCTAGCCCTGGGGCCGGAAGGTGGCCTGAGGTCTCTCCCCGAGCGACCTCCTGAAGTAAGACTTGATCCACCATCTCTGCTGCACTGAGAGGCGCCGCCTGGTCCCCCCTCCGGCCAGCTGTCCGGAGCATGACGAGCACCGGGAGGCCGCAGCCTCGACCCCACCGGCTGGAGGCCACCAGGAGGGCAAGGGCTCTCTCCCTGCGGGACCCGGGGAGGACAGGACGTGGTGGGATCCCAGCCGCTCCAGTCAAGGAGCTTGAAGTCTTCCCTCCGTCTAGCCCGCAGCCTAAGGCAGGTGGGGACCCTTTTTCCTGCCAGGGGCCATTTGGATATTTATAACATCACTCGCTGGCCATTCAAAATTACCGTCTTAAACATTAGCCTGCTGTATTTGGTCAGACATTGAACTAACTCGCCCCTGATGCCTTGGCAGGGCCAGACCAAATATTTCTTGGGTCTTATACCTTTCCCACCCCTGGTCTAAGGGGAGCAGCTGCCTGCCCTTAGCCCGTCTGCCTCCAGAGCTCTCCGGACCCTGGTGGGGCCACAGCCTAGGTTGACGGCTGGGACTCGCCAGAGGCAGGGGTCTGGTCCCCACACCTGGGCTCTGGTTCCCGCCAACTTGCTTAATAGACACTAAGGCTAAAGGCACGTTCCTTACCTTCCCCCTCCACCTTCTCTCCCAGTCACACCTCCCCTGGACACCAGCTGTGCCCGGCCGTCCCCAAATTCCATTTTCTCAGGAGTTGCGGGGCTCAGGCAGCTTGGCTTCTGAATTGGTCACTTTCTGATAAGGCCCCCCAACCAGGACCCCCCACAGCAGGGGCTCTGGGGAAGGCAGATACTGCAGCCCTGCAGGAAGTGGGGGCTGTGCTGAGGGGAAGAGGTGGGTAAAGGCAGCCGCCCTTTACCCCAGTCGACCTGGGATGGCTCCTCTTTGGGGCCGGGCAGCCCTCCTGGGTGTTAGGAGCACACAGCTGGGCCAGTTGCTGAGCATGTGGCCGGGTGTCTCCTCTGTGACCCCAGAAGGGCCCCGCTCTGACGCAGCCCGGTGAATGGGGTGGCAGAGGGAAGAGGTTGGGCAGACAGCTGGTGAGGGTGCAATAGGTGCCCAGGGGAGATGTGCATGGGAACCCAGCCCATCCATCTAGGCACGGGGAGGAACTTCAGGGGGGGCGGGGTGAGAAGAAAATCTACGGAACACAGCCACCTCTCATCCAGATCTCCCAGCCCTGAGGGGCCCTGGACCCGTGGGTGGGCTCTGCAGTGGGAGCCAGGGTCCCCCCTGCCTCCTCCCCTCTGGGCTCCAGCTCCAGGCCATTTTGACTCACCTTCATGAGTGGGAGCAGGCCTGGCGTGCCCCCCCCCCCCCAGCCTGGGCCCCTTCTCTCCTTGTTGCTATTTCATGTCTTGGCTGGGGCTTTGCCTGCTCTTGGCTGCGGATTATGAAGGTCCAGGCTGTGGCTGGAGGGCACTCTGACACCCACAGGAGTTTTGGCACCTAAGTCCTGGGCTTGGAGCTGCGGGGAGGTAGCTGCCTGAATGTATTTTCTACAAAAGTCCATTGAAGTAAACTATTTTCTTCACCTCTCCTGCTCACGGTGCCTTTGCTGCAGCTGAGGGCTCGCTTCCTCACCCTCACCCATTTTCTGGTGACAGCTTCGGCCTCTCCTACCAGGAGGTGAGGACTCTGGCACCAGGAGGCCGCCAGCCACCTTCTTGTCTAAGCCAAGGGGACAGGCAGTTCTTTGCCGCCACCTCTGTGTGCCCTCCTGCAACCCAGGGCAGACCTCAGGGATGGCCCTGTCGGCTGCTGGCCCGCGCCTCTGCCAGCCACAGCCAAGGAAGACGCAGCCAGGGGCCTGCTCAACTTCAGGGTCACCCCAACACCTCGGGGTTGCGAGTTGGCACCTAGGGGGATCCTTTCCCCCTTGATTTTCAACTTAGTTTACCTGTAACGTCTGTATCTGGAGTAGGAGAGGGGCAGTGGGATTTGATCCAGCCCTTACGCCCCTGCCCCCCTTCTCTTCTAACTTGGGGGGCTGGAGGGAAACGCGGCTGGGAAGCCCTACCCCTCAACCATCTGCCCTCCCCCCTGGCTCCCTCCGGCCGCCCGGTTAGGGCCACGCCCCCCGCAGCCCCTCCCACGCCGCGCGGCCCCGCGGCGGCTCCTGACCCGGTTTTCACCTGAGCCCCGGCGTGGGGCATCGCTTGAGACCCAGGACTTCATGCGGGCGGAGCGGCAGGTCCGGCCCAGCGCCGACGAGCTGTCCTGGTCCCGGACAGGCCGGGGGCGAACCGGATGAGGAGAGAACGGGGGCAGTAGGTGCGGAGTCGCGGGGGTCCCGGCAGCCCGCCCCTTCCCACGCCCGGGGCCTCGGGGCAGGCCCGGAGGTGAGAGCGGAGTCACGGGGCTCCGGCAGGTGGCGCTGGCGGGGCGAAGCCGCCTCGGCCCTGCCCCACCCATGCCCCGCCCACCCAAGACCCTGTCCCTCTAAGGCTCCGCCCACCACGGCCCCGCCCCACCCTTCAGGCCCCGCCTATCACAGCCCCGCCCCCCATCCGGCAGACCCCGCCCACCGCGGGCCCGCCCCGCCCATCCCCGGCGCCGCGGTAGGAAATGACCTAAGCCGCGGCCAGGCGCGGTTCTCTCCAGCGGTGGCGCGGACGTGGGTGCCGCGCGCCATGCCCGCCGAACGGCCTCCGGGCTCGCGGGCGCGGCACCGGCCGGGCAGGTGGGTCCTGGCGCTCACGCCGCCTCTCTCTCCCGCGGGACACCGGACGGCGGGTTCTGCTGCGGGTCCTGCACCGCCGGGAGCGGCGTTCCGGGCTTAGGGAAGCTGCCCAGGTCTGGAGACCCCTAAGGTCGTCCCCCTTGGCCAGGGGGGTGGCACCGAGTCCAGAAGGGGGGCTCCAGTTCGGGACGACCTCGGAGGGACACGTCTTCCCGCGCCCCTTTTTAAGAGGAAGGACCTAGAATGGACCAGCTCAGGGACTGGAGTCCTGAGTGGGCAGCGCTGGAGTTCTGCCACTCGGGAGGCTAGTGTAACCGGTCCGTCCCGGGGCGGGGCGAGCTGGCCAGGACGGGGAGTGTGGGCTCCCAACCAGCTGGGCGGCAAAGAAGTCTCCACCCACCCGCTCAGGCCCGCCCTACGCGAGGCGTGGAAGGGTTCTGAGGACTGAGAAGGGCTCTGGCTGAAGCTGGGACAGCTGTTCTGCAGCTTGGAAGCCTCTCTCTCCACACTACTATAATTTTCCCAAACTGGGGGGATATTTTTGCCATGTTTTTGCGGAACTTATACCTCGCCAGGACCCCCCCTCCTGGTAGTGGAAATACTGCTCCGAGGAGAGGAGGCCTCCCCTCCTCTTCTTTTATCTGATAAGGGCTAAAAAAAGA